ATAGTGATACTGCCTCAGAAACCCAAAGAGGGGTCACTATGAGTCGGTTCCAACTTGACAGCACATAACAACAACAACAGATAGGTAAGGGTGGCATAGTGCCTAAGGCATTTGGCTGCTAAGCAGAAGGCTGGTGGTTCAAAACCATCAGCCACTCCTCGAAAGGAAGATGGGGCAATCTACTTCTATAAGAGATACCACCTCAGAAACCCAAGGGGGTTCGCTATGAGTCTAATCAACTCAACAGCAGTGCATTTATCTGTTTGTTTAGGTAGGTAAGGAACTCTGGTGGTGTAGTGGATAAGGCATTTGGCTTCTAACCAGAAGGTCAGCAGTTCAAACCCACCAGCCACTCCATGGAAAGATGATGGTGTGATCCACTTCTGTAAAGATTTACAACTTCAGAAACCCAATGGGGATCACTGTGTGTCAGAATCAACTCGATGGCAGTGAGTTTGGTTTTTTTTAGATAGGTAAGAAGCCTTGGTGATACAGCAGTTACATGTTGGGCAGCTAACCAAAAGGTTTATGGCTCGAACCCACCCAGCATACTCCACAAGAGAAAAATCTGGCAATCTGCTTCTGTAAAACTTATAGCCCAGAAAACTCTGAGGGGCAGTCTGCTCTGTCACATGGGGTTGCTGTGAGTTGGATATCAAGTTGATGGCACCTAACAAGAACAGACGATGGGTCAATTGATGACCTGGAACAAGTAAGAAAATCTGTTCCTAGTAGTCCAATCAATCATTCTCTTCATGCCTCCTCGCCAGTTTTCTTCACACCCAAATTTTGCATCAGAGAGTTGGCAAAAGCACGTGATTCACTTTTTGTCCAGCCGTCTTATTTCCAATAACATAGCTGGTTCCAGTGAAGAAAGAAGTCTAAAATTGCTTTCTAGAGAAATGTAACTCTTACATAAACTATAAGGTTTACAATAATTTTAAGAAGTCACCCACTAGCTTGACCTAGTGTTGATATTTCTCCAATTTACATATGCCTAAGAGAGGAAGTAGATTGTACACATAGAAATTTAGCAATAGACAAGCTCCTGGGCCAACCGTCTCCATTTTAAAATGAAGAAAGTGAGGTCTTGAAAGTTTAAGTGATTTGCTCAAAATCCCTGGTGTGGATAGGCCAAAGTCAGAGCTTAGGTCTTCTGATCACTGTAGTAACCATACAGCAACACCATGCAGTCAGATCAGATCATGTCCCTCCCCAGCCTGCCACCCTCTAGTGCTTCCCACTGTGTTGAGAATAAAACCCCGATTCATTATGGAGGCCTGTTATGCTCTTGCCCACCTCTCCGTGCTCAGCTGTTTCTCTCTCCTTGCTTAGTACAGTCTCATGCAGAGGCTTTCTATTTGACCCCTGCTCACAGTAAGGGATGTATTACTGTACATTGCAACCCAGTATACACATACACACACACATAATAACAAACAAATGTTCATGAAAGACTACTTATTCCAAAAGCATGTGACCCTCTCTGATTCTTTCTCTACTTGACTTCCTTTTTAGAAAATGCAATGACCCACAAAATTGATATCTTAACCTACAAACATGACCCACAGTTTGAAAACCATAACTGGCCATACTGCCTTTTTATGTTTTCTTCAGATAGATTGGGGAGCTCTGGTAGC